ACAGTTCCTGGACGTTGCGATACTGCTTTCTCGTGCACTTCCATAACGACCAGTGTTTCGAACAGATTTTCTTCATGTAGCTAATGGCTTCATGCCATTCATCGTTAATTGTAGGAATCGTAAAACAGTGTATATAGCTAGGAAGTTTCACGACGTGTAGCTTTTGTTTCCCTCTCTCCATCGTCACAGTTCTTTTGGATATCATATTGGTTTTGCTGGTATGAGGTTGGCGGAGACCAGCTCAAGTCAGCGAGCATCTTAAGGTTTTTGCTACTAATCTTGCTGATCAAACTTTCCAGATCACAGATCGTTATGGATACGAGACCTCGCGACACGTTCAAGTCAGTAGACTTAGGTGCGAAACTACTTCTATCTGGGACAACTCTTTTCGGTTGTAAAATCAACAGGAGACAGGTGGGCCCAATGTCTGAAAGCTATTCATAAACTGCAGACTACACAACGCAGCATGAAGTTTATGTTGGGAGCAACAACAAGTAGGAGACAAAAGAATAGATAATAACACAAAGAGAAGTTTTGTAATGTCATTGTCTGAGCGAAGAAATTAAAGCGACAATGGACTAAACACGCTGCAAGAATAATCGATCATAACTGGACCAGAGAAACTTGGATTGGGTTGTAAGCGAGTATTCCACCTGTACGAAGACTTCAAGATCAGCGACAGGATTAGTTATGGAAGTTTGTCGAATCAGGACGGATAAGAATCACAGAAAACAGAACTTTCTATTCGGTTTGATGCCATAGTGGCTAGGAAGTGAGCTTCGAACATCAGAGATGCCGGTTCCTTTCCTGCGGAGGCTAAATTTTGTCGTGACCACGCATTCCCTTGTGAAATGAATTGCAAATACGTTGCTTCATGCCGGAGTTGCTCAGACGGTAGAGCGTCGGACTGAGAATTAAGAGGCGGTTTATGATCTCGGTCGGGATCACTCGCGTTTCTGCCTTCCAGGATTTACTGTTATTATTTGAGACGTTGAATCAGGAAAACTGGTATGAATGCTTCTGCTGCTCCTAACGCCGTTTTCTAGCTAAAAGGAGGATTCACTAATGGAGGCTTCATTGCAGGGAAAAGATATTTTCCATCATGTGCTTAAAGCGAAATCCCAATTGTTTCACCACTTGAAATCCTTCCAACAACTGTACTCTACAGCGTTCCTTCAATTTCTCTGAGTCATACTGTCACATATCTGTGACTTATGCATATTTAGGTTATATTCCGTTTCATATGCCGTTCCAAAATTACGATTATCGCGTATATTATCCTTGGTGGAAAGAGGAACCTATTATGATTGATGACGAGCCGGACTTAATTACGATGGAACGCGAACATCCGTATGTCAAGTATCCGGTACATAATCCAGAATTGGTCCCTGAAATGCGGCATAAAAGACATAATCCATACCTGAAGTATTATAAGAGAAAGTGAATATTTGTGACTAGTATTCGATCGCTGTTGAAATCTAGTTTATAAATAAAGATGCGTTTTCGTGGTTAATGTTTTCTCATAAAGTCATCTACAGTCTATACCAGCTTCGAAAGTTGCTCGACCATTCGTTTAATAATGAGGCAAGATCTCACATGGCTTTTAACGACGTTTGTTTTTACCTGTTATAAAGTACCTTATTTCGACTAATATTAATCTTCAGAGTCAAAGCATTTAGTTGTGCTCCAACCTCAATGTGACTGACATTGGTTTGATCGAAATACCGTACTGTGACGTCTTCAAACTAACGTCGTTTTTAGAGTTATGGTGGGTTTTGACGTACTGACCGTCGTACGTAGACGAAACTGATCGATGCCCAATTTTTGTGGGTTTTTCGTTTGCATGGCAGAATGAGGTGCATGAGTTGCTCAGTGATTAGTTCTGGCCAAAAAGAAAAAAACTAAAATAAAATGTTGAAATTATGTTTCCATCTCGATACGACGTCACATACAAGCGTCATCATCAGGTTACAGGCTAATTCAAATATTTCATTCTTGTTTGTTCGGTAGAAATTCCAAAGGGTCAGATCTGCCAGGAAAAATTTCCATAATAGTTTAGGGGTTTCAACAGTATGGCTTTCCATGTGGTTAAGTGGCGAATAAAGCAAGCATGAGCCTACATAATTATTTAGAACCGATGTTCTTCCAATTCCACTAGTGTTTATAACATTTCAATTATTAATACCAGATTTCCTCAGCGTAAGTGCAGCGCCCTCTTGCTTCTAGTCCCCTCGGAGGACAATTTAAACAGGCCGCAACCCCGAGGTAGGTATTTGAGCAGCTGCAGTGATTCGAATGCAAGACCGCATATCTTGGTGACTTCGAGTTCGAGTTACCAACTGGGTATGCCCAGTAGGTCATCCATCAACAAGCTGGGACGACCAAACGAGGAAGCTGTTTTGTCAGCAGTGGAAACAAGGGCTACAACGCCGAGAAAAGTGACGGAACGCTGACTTGCGTCTGTAGTGCCGCCGTTGACGAAAACAAGTCCTGTAGAAGGATATTATTTTGTAACGGAAGTAACAGTGTGAAACGGATCACATGGGTTTCTTCTTGTATGTTCCTTCTTCTGCGATGGTTTCTACCTTTCAAAATTACTTTCCAATCTTCAAACTCTAGTAAATAAAAGGACTCTTCTTATTGAATCTTTCTCCGCGGTTGATGGGATGGAATGCCGGAAGGGTTTTCGATGCGTTGTTGATAATTTATTCCTGTTCTTCCTGCAGTTACTTGTTCCTGTGTTCCACCCTAACGGATCTGCTTCGTAGTTTGTGCAACTTTTGGTTGTAGATTGCGAAGGTTTATTGCATCCTTGCTTACAGTGATGTCACCAAGTTTGAAGACAAAGTTACTGGTCTAGCGGTTGGTAACTATAATTTCTTGGGGAAATTTACTAAGCCTAAGTCAGACATCCACTACTGCACGCCTACTTCATGTTTGTATAAAGTGAAACCGCTTTTAAAGAGATATATTTCTAAAATAAAAATTCTGTTCATACAACGTTTATGCATTTTTGTTGACGCACTATTCAATATATTCTACCGTAGGCAATCAGGTGGCTCAGAAATCCGAATATCTAGATTTAGCTGCACTAATTTTTCCAGCCACGTGGTAGAAGAAGCAGAAGAATAGCGGCAATAATAAATTTTGTCTTGAAATTTCACGCCCACGCCCAACTTATTGCAGCAGTGTTCCAACGCTAATAGAATTCACATTTCCTCTCCTCGTTTCTGGTTTCACTTAGAAATATGAAACAGTGCGATCAATAACAAGACACCGATATGCATTGAACTGTATGGGTATTTTCTAAAGGATTCCAATGAAATTTTGATTATATTATATTTTGAAGATGATTTATCATGGTGCGCAATAGAAAGGACAAGTTGCAAAAAAACTGATCACCAGTGAATTGGAGAGAAATCACAGTGGGTTACACGAGAGAATAATCGGCCAGTAGAAAGACATGAACACGGGTGAAAATAGCTGAAACCTGAAATCTATGGCGAAGCCTTGGGGAGGCTTTCATCCAGCAGCGAATCGACGAAGGCGAACGATAATGAATTTTTATGGGCTTCACTGTCTGTTATTTGAAATATGAGTTCTCCTGACCTTTGGATTAAAAACCGAACTTCTAAGTGCAACACTGGAAGGAGAATTCGACAGACTGATATTACTCCGTCAGTGCTGATCCGAAGTCGTATGTCCAGTTGAGAGAGCTGACAGTTAAAGATGGCGCATCTGCATGTCATCGCCAGGTAAAATGCTGCGTCAATTGCTGCTTGACTTAAAATATATTACGTCTAATGGCATGCGAATTACTATAATGATTTTAAACACTTTTGTTGGTCATAGAAATGGAAGATTATAGATCTTTCTCGGTATGTTATCTTCAGCCCTTTGTCATCCACTGTTGGATGAAGGTCTCTCAGAAACTGTGATATAGTTGTTTTCTGGGATTCTTATTCATTTTGATCCAACGAAATTCTTCAGCTCATGGTGCCATCAGTATGGCGGTTTTCATCTGAGCCGTTTACTCTCTTTTGGAACCCAATCTAACGTTTCTTCGGTCCAGCAATGATTGGTTCATATTGCAACATGTCCTTCCCATTGCCAAATTCTTTACTCGGGCAGCGGCATCGCGGACTCTGGTTTGTCCTCTTGTCCAAACATTCATTTTCCTATTTTTCTTGTTATTCTAAGCATATGCCTTTCCATGCTGCACTGCGTAGTCTGCTGTTTATGAAATGCTTTCAAGCTTAGGGTCCACTTTTCGCATCCATAAGTTAGCACTGGGAAGACACACTGAATGAAACGTTTCCCTTTCAAACAAAAGGGCAGTTACTAGTGTAAGAACGTTTTAAATCTTCCCAAAGTGCCTCATGTCATTTTTGCTTTTCCGTTGATTTCTTAGAGTCCGTTGTTCGTCGCAGACACGATCTTTTCAAGCATATGTCTACTGACTTCACCATTCATTGGGTACTTAAACATGTTTTGCTAAACATGACCTGAATCTTCTTCAGGCCAGGTGTGTATATCGCATGTTAATCATAAACAGCTACTGATTTATTCCAGTAACTTCAAAAGTTTAAGAAACTGTACGCACAACGTGGCAACAAACTTAAGTCTCCAGTTAACAGGAAGGTTACGGCCTTCCGCGACGGTAAAAAGGAACTCTGCACAGTTACGTCCAACACGCTCCAGAGACGGCTGGTTGGGGGATTTGCACCGCTTGACGACCCCTTTTTTCGAACGTTCTTCTACCAGAGACAACGCTGAAAGAACGGTTTCTTCTCCTTGTACTTGACCTTCTTCATTTGCGGCCAGTTCGATGCAACTTGCGGTAAGGCGTATCAGAAAAAGCGGTTCGTAAATGATCTCTGGCGGTGACTTCCAGAAAGGATTATAGTGATCGTCTTTAGCCTCCTTCGAGATCTGTAATGATGAAAATTTGCAATAACCTCTCATCGCTGATTACGCAAGAAAAACAAATGAAAAACTAGAATTTTGGCAATAAACTAAAATCATCATAAATGCCACAAACTACAAGTAAGTATTACACTTCTAAAAGTTCTATTCATATGGCTGACGCCTGCGACCTTTCGCGACCAGTCTTCCTTGCAGCAATAAAGGCAGTATCAATAATGACCTTGGATTAGCTGTCAGCGATACACAGACTGGAAACGTCAAACCATTTTTAAGGCTATGACATGCTACACCATGATTCATTTCGAGTGAACTCTACCCGCATTAATAGCAAGTCGTTCGTCTTTTAGTGTCATGTCAACATTATTACAAGTTAGTTTTACTGTACAATAATATAATTCTCAATTAGTGCTTGCACTTTTTACGCATTCCGCACAGCTGCAGTTTGTCAGTGTCAGTAACAACCGGAGTGTTAGCAATGTTCAGCAAAAATTATGCACAGCTGTAACCAGCTAGTACGGTAAGAGCTTTTCTATTATAAGTTTCACAGCCGTATTATATGCAAAGCAGGATAGTTACCCTTAATTCAGCCTCCACATATTTTCCAAGAAACTCCAACAAGTTGCCGATTTCTCCTGACTTGACTTCCTGAAGAGTGTGTCGGAAGATGGCAAGCAGTGGACTGATTTCGTCACCTAGACGACAACTGAATGAAAACAGTTTTATACAACACGTTACAGATAACTGATAACTCTCAACCATGACATAATTCAAATCTCCTTGTGCAAACATTCATTCAACATGTTCAAAGTATGCTACCCATTTCGGGTAGCGCAGAGACAGCAATTTCAGGAAGGCTTTTCAACAGTCATGATCCATTGCTAAACGGACAATCACGACGGACTGAATTGCCAGGCACGATAAGGCTACGGTTCAAACATTGACTCACCTGCGCAGTTTCAGCTTTGGTATCAGCGCTGCGGAGAGTGGGCAGCTGACAGACTAAGGAATAGCAAGCAGGGCGAAGGAAGGCGGCAGGTGTTTTCGTTAGCCATGACGGCTACGAATGATGCCGTAATGATCAACCAATGAGGCAATGGTAATCATGGGTTGACAGACCAATTATGCGTTTAAGACCAGTATACAAAGAAGTGGTATGCTCTGACTACCGATTCACCGGAAAAATTAACAGCGATCGCCCATATTAATCCCTAACAAAAGGGGGATCCTTGTCACCACGTCATCTACTCTCTTAACGGGAGGATAAAGATTTACAGGGAAAGTGATCACAGAAAATACCATTTTCAGAGACGTTACAACACTGACTCAAGGAAACAAAGAAACCGGTATGTGAAATTCATATTCTTATTTAAAGAAAAAGCACTTTAACGATTGTTTCAGGATTCGGCTCTTTGGCCGAGGCAAGCTGCACTGCCAGAACGTTCGCTTACGTTCGTCAGCTGCACAATACAGGAATTCTGATAAATAAATAACCACAGATAAAGTGAAGGCAGCGCCTCGAGGGTCAGCGAATTAACAACTGTTGAGTTTGGTTACAACAGAACTGTCGCCTTCAGCGTGCGGCAGAACCTAACGAAGCTTATCTAAACCTGACTCTATCCGGGTCCTTATGAACTGAAGATTTCGTCACTTTGCTGTTGCTATTCTGAGGAAGACATTGCCTGAACAGGCGTGCCAAAGAGGTATTAATCATTAAGCCCAGCGACAACGTCAACCGTGACAGAGGATACGCACTCTGCGCTGATCGAGTGAACCTCTTCCTCCCAGTCGCCAAGAATATTTAGCCAGCAGCACCTACCAAAATCTTGCCATATGGCTCCACAAGCAGCAGCTGCTGCGAACCACAGAAAGACTTCTGAAGTCAGTGAACAAACCTCCTTACCTTAAAGGAGACCCGTGAAACACGGGTCGACACCGGTACAGGTCATTCATCCGACTGATCATAGTTTTAGTGTAGTTTATGAATAAATCATGTTTTATACTGTTTTTCAGTATAACCACCAACACAGAACGAAATACTCACTGTTGTTGTCCTAATTCCAACTAATTTGCTGACAACAGATTTTCCCTCTACATTTTCGGCCTGAGGCTTACGATATGCCCCAGACGATCTGAATGTCAGGAACATCACAATTCTCTTGTTTTACGTGCATCGCTCAGTGGGCCGGCTACCGCAGGCTTCTTCACAACTTTGTTGGTTTCTTCTAGGTTCAGTGTTGTTTATTCATTATTTTATATATGGCGATAAATTAGATTTTTTGGTAGGACGTGTACTGGTTGAGCAAGATCATTGAAGGTCCCTACTCTTCAGCACACATAAAGGAAGATACAAGCACGCGCGCATTAAAAGATAAATAACGGTGAAAGTAAAACAAACGGATAAAACTAGCATAACTATGATCAAAAGTAGCATTGAGGATATATTCAACAATAGCAGTATTCAGCATAAGAGAAACATAGTGTCTTTAGTACGCAATTGTTCAGAATCATATGCTCGAAACTGAAGTCAACGGGGAAATGGACGGCCCAACATTTGAGGCTAAGTGATTGCCCCAGATTGACGAGGCAATAATGACGGCTTCATGTGATGAAAATCGCGTTGTTGCATGGACTAAGCCTTCTGAGGATTAGCGACATGAACTTCCACGTCGTAATGCTGCTGTCAGGCTTGTCGATATTTCTCAGAAGCTGTGACCAGAGATTAAGTCGTTGTACTACTTCACACTGCCGTAATAAACCCTGCAATCGCATATTCGTTCGATTTCCTGCTTATTTCGCAGCTAGCCTTGATCCGACGGTACAGGCTCAAAGTGCTAATGCACATTTAGCGACATTTACCATTGCCTCGGCCAGATTATATATACAGTTTTTAAGTTTGTGTTAGTCGTGCCAAAAGAAAATGTTAAATTAGATGGATCTAAGGGTCATAACCTGAAAACCACAAGTCTAAACTGTGCTGCAATGCCTCTAACTACTGGTTCTGCTACCGGTCAGTAAAACTTGTGATCTGTCAGTCGCACCGGCAATAAAATTGGTTCAAAGAGATGATGGGGTGTGGTGGCACAGTGACTATGACGTTGGCTTTGAACTCCTGAGGTCCAGGTTCGAATCCGCTAAAGGGACATTCTTTGCTTTGACCGCGAATCACTTCAGCAAGGCATTAGCCCCTCGTTGCAATAGCGCAATCAGCTGAGAAACGGATAATGAGTTGGTGAGTTACGAAAAATAAGGACAGCATGGTATTCAGGTCTGGTCATACTAGAACATATTAGATGAACGACCATGCTGTCCCAT